CCCCAAAACCCCAAAACCCCGAGCGATGGAATTAAGTTTTATAAAGGAATTCAATAAAACTAAGAAAATTATATAATATTTCAATAAAAATGTAAATCAATTAAAAAGTTAACGATCAGCAACAGAAACGAGAGATTCGTCAATAAGTGTTGGAATTTCTCTTGCTTGAAGGATATCAACTTGCCTTTAAAACCTTTTAAGTAACTTATATTATTTACAACTTTTATATAGAATGAATAGCCTCCAATTCTTTCAAAGAATCAAAAGCTTTCAATAGTATCTCTTTCAAATACCTTGCTAAAAGTAAAATCAAATTTCTCCATAACAAATTTTGTAATTTCTTTAGGCTTTTGATGAAGGTGATCGAGACTCGTTTTATTCAATTTGGAATATAAGGTAATTCCTAATATAGCCAAGAACTCAAAATGATATTTAAGAGAAAAGAAAGATAGAGTTTTATCTTCAAATATACTTTGCTACTTACCCCTAAAATCCATTTAGAACAAATAACAGTTATAATAGTTAAGAAGAGTTAGCTCTCTTTAAAAATTTTCTAGAAACATAAGGTTCTGAGTTAAGTTAAACATCTGAATTCGTAACTTATTATGCCTTACCATATGTACCTAATTTAACTGAGCACAAATCGTTCAAGCATCTATTTACAAAAGAATTCAACTAACAGTTAAAGTAAAGATTATCAAAATTTCTAGAACTTTAAATTAACAACTAGTTTAACCATAGTTTGACACAGCCTACTCTAATCACAAACCTTTAAGAGCTCTAAAATATTAATACAAACCTTTTAGATAATAAAAATTCTAAATCGCCTGCCTCAGCCATTAACAATGATGATCAGAAGATGTTAAAGGTGATTTAAGACTTATAGGCAAAACTTTAATAGGAATATGAAAAGTAAATGATGATTGAACATTTGCTAAAGCAAGATAACCAAAACTCTATCTTGGTTGGTGATATCCTGTCCATCTTATAATCCAAGCCAAGTGAAAATAAAACAATGGTTGAGGATGCAGTGAGTCAAGAAATATCTATTCAAAAAAGAATGAAAAATAACACGAATCAATTAAGAACATAGAATGAGACAAGTAGCCTTATAATGAAAGTACTTCCAAATTCTGTGAGTAATAGGAATATTCAATCTGATAATAATAATGACAACAACTATATGAGTTAATATGAGCAAGTTCATTCCAATTCTCAAATAAATATTCCTGATAACGATAATAACTTACTTTAAAGTCATTAGAGAAAGTTTAATAACTACACTGGGATAGAAAACGATAAATCTTAAAGAGATGCTAGCAAAAATAAATCAGTTAACACAGACTTTTCATCTAATCTTACTAGAATTCTTCCCTCGTATATTGCTTCACAAATAAGAAAAGATCTAATTCAGAGTAAGGATGAGGATCATATTTGTCAACTGCTAAAGCAGATAAGAGAACTACTCAAAAAGGCTTGCTAAGAATCAAGGAAATCAAGAAAAGAGGCATTCAAGTATATATTCATAAGCTATGATCTTCTCAGTTTATCTTAACCTCTGATTCTTTCAGAAACTGTAATATCTGGCAGAAGTGAAAAGAACAAACACCATCAATAGTAATAGGAAGTAATAGGAACAGACTTCGTATAGAAATTACATAGCCTTAAATCTGAAAAAGTAATTTTTCAATTCTTTTACTTGGTGAATGTTATGGCTTGCGAACCTCTCGGCATATAATATTTATCAAACAAAAAGGATTTCTTATAAGAGGCTGTCTGGAGTATATTAGAGAGTGAACCTGAGTTTTCTTAAAAATTTGATAAGATTGCTATTGCTATTTTCTAAAAATTCTCTTTAAAAAAGAAATACTGTTTACAAATGCTGAAATTTGGAATATCAGAATGGCTGCTGAAATTACTTGATGAACTAAAATCAACCTAGTAATATGAAATATAATATGGATTGGCTTTATTAATGAATTTAACTTTACATCGGTAAGGTCAACTTTGTCTCTCTCATTGTTCTATAAAATATGATGTTCTTGAAGTTCTAATGAAGCATTTCAATTCAATTTAGGAGTAGGAACTTGAAACTTGTGTAAATGGAAGTATATATTGCTTAATGAATATTGCAAAGCTTAGATAAAAAGCTAAGGACAATGGACTTTAAAAGCTTATGGAGAAAAAGTTGTAAGAAAGCTAGAATGACCAATTATTGACATAGATCAGACATATACTAAGCAAAATAGATGAATTTGAGAATGAATAAGACTATCAAATATCTAAACATATGAAGGATTAAGATTAGATTATCGAGGAGGAGAATGAAGATGATGATGACAGTCCATATAGTCTTGGATCAGTCCCAAAATCTTTAAAGAAATAGGATCAAACCTAGACAAAGAGTAAAGAGGAGGATGAAGAAATTGATTGGGACGACGATGATGAGCAAATGGACTTCAATGATAACGAAGTGAGTGCTGAAATTGAGGATGAAGAGGATGATAATATGAGCATTAGCTACTTCTCCGATGATGTAGACTTTAATTAATACAAAGTTGGGAACGCTGATCCTATTACATATTTTGAAAACAGAATGCTCAAAAATCAAATATTCTAGCCTTTTAATAATACAGAGTAAAAAGCAGAGTTTTAGTCTTAACCAACTGATAGGGCAAAAAATAATCAATCAGGTCTTTATACGAAGAGAAATGACAAGCCAATATTCAGCTATAATTAAAGCTAAAGTAATAATAATCCAAGTTCATCAGGCACTGTCATTATTGGAAATGCTCAACCTAATGATAGGTAATCAATTATCAAATTTATTTAAACTATAGTCAGTTGAACAAAACTAAATCTAGTTAAATCAGTATACCTTAAGAAATGAAACATCACGATAAAATCCCTAGGACCCCCATAGATCCTGAACTACTTGCATAAATTCACAAAGATAATGTAAAATATATTTTATTTATCCATTCAGCTTATTTTGTAAAAAGAATATGACATTGTAAAAACCACTAAGAAGCCAAAATCCAAAGTCGGTTCAAATTTTACTAGTCCAGACTTAAACAAACCACTGAATAATATTCCAAAAGTTCCTTATAATCAAAATAACTTCAATCAAAATATTATAAACTAGGCTAAGCTAGACCTTAATAAACTCGGAGAAGATATTCTTAGAAATGAATTCTCTCTTAAAAAGGATACCAAAAGAGAAAACTTTGAGCAGCAATAAGACTCAATAAAGCCAGATAAATTCTACAAAAATAAATGATTTATAATCTTAATTTCATAATCAATCTTTATAGCAATAATGATTCTGTGGGGTTTTGGGGTTTTGGGGAGATCGGAAGAGCACACGTCTGAAACTCCAG